CAGGGGAGCCCGATCACCTCCCGGGGTCTCCATGTGCAGACGGCAGGTGGACTTCTCGGGTTAGGGTGGGAACGTGATAACCTCTAAGTGACTATGTGAGTGTGTGGGGAAATCAAGAGCCTTCTCTGAACCTCCAATCTGTAGCTCCACGGTGCAAACTATGGAGCGGAGCTCGGCAGGGCCCGAGACTGCGTCTCCGTGGCGAACCGCATATAGCTGATGGCGGCATCGAGCTGAGCTCAAGCTGAGCTCTCCGAGTCGGGGGATTATGCCGACCCCCTGACTGCTAAGAGGTGCCTAAGTTCCCGCAGGGGGCGCAGCCAGGTGGGCATCTGAGTGGTCCTTCATTGGACACCCCTCCTTTGTCTGTCTTGCGTCACCTTTCAAAAGGGGACACACATCATGGGGAAAAGTCAGTCTAAGCCCACAGTCCTAGATGTATGGTCAAAAACTTCAGGAAGGGCTTTTCTGTAGATTATGGGGTTAAAATGACCCCAGGAAAGCTAAAAACCCTCTGCCGATCAGAGTGACTGGCGCTTAGCGTCCGAGGCCACCAGAGGGCACCCTGGAACTCTCCACGGTGCAGGCTGCTTGGAAGGCTGACTGGTAACCCCGACCAGCAAAACCAGTTCCCATAAATTGATTCCTGGTTAGAGATAGCTCAGACCCTCCCCCTTGGGTTCAATTCTGTGCTGGTAGGAAGGGACAGTGCAAGGTCCTCGTGGCCCAAGCAACTAAGGGACCCAAGCAACCCATTCATCAGGACCTGGAGAAGGAGCTGCCACTGCCTTATGTCCTTCCGGCACCATCAGCCCCCAGCCCATCCGCCTTGTCTGACACTCCACACACAAAAGCGGGAGATCTGAGCACCCTCCCTGGTAGCTAGATCAGTGTGCATGCTGCAGAGAGGGGAAACTGGAATAATGAGTGCCTCTAGTGGACGGTCCCAGATGGGGCACTCCCCAACCCCCGCGCGCCGAGGGAGGGCAGAATACCAGCCAGAGCCTAGCCAGACCCACCTGATCGGCTTGGCCGGGATGGACTCAGACTAGGACGGGCCAGGCTCTATGAAACTTGGCCCCGGGAGCCCATGGTCAAGATGAAGGTCGAAGGCCACCCAATGACTTTTATGGTAGACCCTGCAGTGGAGTACTCGGTGGTCACCACTCTGGTTGCCCCATTTAGTAACTGGAAGGCAACTGTTGTGGGAACAACAGGTGACCAGGCAGAGCCCCGGCCATTCTGCCAAGATCGGATATGCCAATTAGGGGGGCACCAGGTACACCATGAATTCCTCTACCTACTGGAATGTCCTCTCCCCCTTCTGGGAAGAGACTTGTTAGGCAAACTGGGGGCACAAAGCACCCTTGAACCCCAGGGGACCAGCCAGTCTGACTTTGAGTGAGCCAAAGGGGGGCCTGGTCCTGGCAGTCACACTTCCATGTGAGGAAGAATGGAAACTGCACACTGTCGAGAGGTCAGAGGAGAACCCACCAGAATTCCTGGATGCCTTCCCTATAGTCTGGGCAGAGACGAACCCCCCAGGGATGGCTAAGGCCCAAATCTGCAGACAGCAGGTGAGGAACCTGGGGTTCATCATCACCAAAGGACACCGATCCCTGGGACCGAAGAGAAAAAGGGTGATTTCCTCCATGCCCACTCCCGACACCAAGCGGAAACTCCAGGAGTTTCTCGGGGAGGCAGGCTTCTGCTGCATATGGATTCCCGGCTTCTTGGGCATAGCAAGACCCCCTATGGGGTCCTAACTGGGCCAGAAGATAGACCTCTTGAGTGAGATGATAGCCAAGACATGGCTTTCTGGGAAATCAAGGCACTGCTCCAAAGTGCCCCAGCACTAGGACTTCCAGATGTCACCCGACAATTCAATCTGTTCATTCGGGAGGGAAACAAAACAGCACTTGGGGTCCTCTCCCAGACCATGGGGCCTTGGAAGAAAGAGAGGAGAGAGAGAGGAGAGAGACAGAGATAGAGAGGAGAGAGAAGGAGAAAAAAGAAGAGAGAGACAGAGAGAGGAGAGAGACAGAGGAGAGAGACAGAGAGAGAGAGGAGAAAAGTCAGGGGCACCAGTGGCTCTCAAATGCCCGTTTAACCCACTAGCAAGGGCTGCTCTGTGAAAAACCCATGGGTCACCATGGAAACCGTGCATGGCCTCAACCCAGCCACATTTCTACCCGCAGAAGAGGGAGTCCCGGACCACGACTGTGAGCAGGTGGTAGATGGTGTGTTTGCTAGTCAGCCTGACCTCAAGGACTGTCCCCTCCCTAAAGCAGACTTAAACCTGTTCACTGATGGAAGCAGCTATGTCCATAATGGAGAGAGGTATGCAGGGTAGGCAGTCACCACCACCACTGAAGAGGTCAAGGCAGCCCGCTTGCCCAGAGGCTGGGCAGTACAACGGGCAGAATTACACGCCCTCATTCAGGCCTTGTGCCGTGTGGAAGGCAAAGTGGTCAATATTTACGCTGACTCCAAGTACACTGTTGCAACTGTCCACATACAAGGGGCGTTATACAAGGAAAGAGGGCTGCTGACAGCAGGAGGAAAAGGAATCAAAAATAAGGAAGAAATTCTCAGACTGCTAGAAGCAGTTTGGAAGCCCAAAGAGGTGGCTGTCATACATTACAAGGGCCACCAGAGGAACTGATCTTGTCTGTACAGGAAACCCGCTGGCTGACCCAGAAGCTAAGGCAGCCGCACTGAAGAAAGGGCCTGTGCAGGCCCCGCGCACTTGTTCACAGTCACCCCTTGGCTCCGAGAGGATGTGGGGAAGCCGGAGTACTCTAAGGAAGAAAACCAGCGGGCACAGCAGGAGGGGGCAAAGCACAGTGCCAGGGGATGGTGGCCACTCCCTGACAACAGACCAGTGGTCCCTAAGAACTTGGCTCACACCATCGTTGCTGAGTGCCATGGTCTCACCCACCTAGGTAAACAGCTCTGGAGAGCTTACTCAACAGGTATGACTATAATGCAACCCTCCCCACACTCTGTGCTGCAGTAAGCAATCAGTGCCTTACCTCTGCTAAAAACAACCCCTCTCAGCGGCTGAAACCTGCCCCAGGGGTGCAACAGGTGGGCGGCTACCCCTCTGAGGACGTAGAGGTGGACTTCACTGAAGTCAAGCCCAGTAAAGGGTACAAATACCTACTGGTCCTTGTATGTACATACTGGGGCTGGGCTGAGGCACTCCCAACCAAGACAGAGAGAGCCCGAGAATTAGTGAGAGTCCTACTTTGTGAAATTGTTCCCCGGTATGGGATTCCACTCACCATACACAGTGACAGTGGGCCAGCATTTGTGGCGGAGATCATCCAAGCCCTCACCAGCATGCTCAAGATTAAGTGGAAACTTCACACAGCCTGCAGGACACAAAGTTCAGGAAAAGTAGAGCGCATGAATCGAACTCTGAAGGTTACACTAGTAAAGCTCTGCCAGGAAACGCAGGCTTCCTGGTTAGATATGCTTCCCCTAGCCCTGCTGTGGTCACGGTGTACACTAGGACCTGCCGGCTACTCACCCTTTGAAATCCTATTTGGGAGGCCCCCCTCTGGTTAACAAAGTGAGGGGGGACCTCAGACAGCTAGGGGAAACAAGCGTGATGTCCCAGCTGCAGGCATTGGGGAAGGTGCTGTCCCAGCTCAGTCAGTTTGAAATAGAAAGAGCACCTATCTCCCTAGCCAATCCAACTCATCCCTTCCAACCTGGGGTCCAGGTCTGGCTGAAAGATTGGAATAAGGAACCCCTTCAGCCTGTCTGGACAGGGCCTCATACTGTAATCCTTGTCACCCCAAATGCTCTCAAAGTTTCAAGAGTCGTTCTGTGGGTACATTATTCCAGAGCCAAGAGGGCCCACCCGGACACGTCGCTGGACTGGTGGACTGCACATCAGACCCTCGGCACCCCACGAAAATCAGGCTCCAGGGCTCTGAATCCTGAGAACTCATCAAGCCCTCCTGTAGCCACACAACCAGAAGCTGACTAGTCAAGGCACGGCCGAAGCTTGGGGAGCCTCCACTGAATCAGCAAATGTGGACTGAAATCTTAGTACTTGGAACTATTCTGACAGCATTTGTTGTTCTATTGTTGTGCGGTCATCCTTGTTGTCCCTTGAGAGACATTCCTTGTCCATGTCTGGTGTAAAATGTCACTTCCTGTTTTGCTATTAATAATCTTCTTGGCCCTTGCCGTCAGCCCTTGTCTAATTAACATACTTTGGTGCTTCATTGAAGCCATGGTCATTAGAAAAACAAATGCTCAGTTGCTGGCCCTCAGTGGGTACAAGCCGCTAAATACAGGCAGCAGGGTGTAAAGGTGATGCTCCCTAATATCCATAAGAGAGCATCAGAGGGGGGATGAAGTGGAAGTTTTGCCCACGATTTCTTTAGCACATAGTCAGCAACTTCCCTATTTTAAAACTGGCACTGTTTTTCTGCTAATAACCGCCTCCTTCTGCTTCTGGACCTCAGCTTATTGCTTACCAGCTAAAAACCTTAAGGAAAACTGCTGCGTCGTCTAAACCTCCTGCGGTGTCTAAAGTTCTGAGTTTCTTCCCCTGCCCCTTCCCCTATAAAAACTGTGTACTTTTCTTAGCCGGGGTCCAGACTTTTGGGTGTGAACCCTTCCTGGCCGGCTGCCATAATAAAGTGTGTTCCTCCGTTCCCCTGAGTGCTGCTTGGGTTTCCTGTCAGGTAAAATTTTCCGCAACAGTATCTGTTAAATTTTGGAGAAAAGCCCTCTAACTTCTTTATGCAAAAACAATCGGTATATGGGCTGGGGCGGTGGCTCATGCCTGTAATCCCCGTACTTTTAGAGCCCAAATCGGGTGAATCACCTGAGGTTTGGAGTTCGAGACCAGCCTGGCCAGTATGGTTTAACGCTGTCTCTAGTAAAAATACAAAAATTGGCCGGGCGCGGTGGCTCAAGCCTGTAATCCCAGCACTTTGGGAGGCCGAGGAGGGTGGATCACGAGGTCAAGAGATCGAGACCATCCTGGTCAATATGGTGAAACCCCGTCTCTACTAAAAATACAAAAAAAAATTAGCTGGGCATGGTGGTGCGTGCCTGTAATCCCAGCTACTCAGGAGGCTGAGGCAGGAGAATTGCCTGAACTCAGGAGGCGGAGGTTGCGGTGAGCCGAGATCGCGCCATTGCACTCCAGCCTGGGTAACAAGGGCGAAACTCCGTCTCAAAAAAAAAAAAAAAAAAAAAAAAAAAAAACAAAAATTAGCTGGGGCTGGTGGTGGGCACCTGTAATCACAGCTACTTGGGAGGCTGAGGCAGGAGAATCACTCTAACCCAGGAGGTGGAGGTTGCAGTAATCAGAAAACACGCCATTGCCCTCCAGCCTGGGTGACAAGAGCAGAAACTGTCTCAAAAAGAAATAAAAAATCAATGGGTATGATTTAGTGTTCATACTAGTTGATATTTTTAACAGAATCAAGGAACAGAAGTCTTAAAACCATGTGGGAAACGTAAGTAATTGTGCAGAGTGTAGCATAGTACTTCAGATGCCTCTCATGAGAAAATTCCATGTACTGTGCTTATGATACAAGTTGTCACAGTTGAGACCTAGTTGCTGTTAATTTCTTTCTGCCTTAAAGTTAAGCGTAGCATCTCACGTACACAATCATGATCCAAAGGTTTGTGGGCAATGTTATACTTAAAAAAAAAATATATATATATATATATATATACATATATATCATATATATGGTTATATAGACATATATATCTAACATATGTAACATGTGAGACGTGTATCATAGAGAAAAGACATCCTGGGAAATTACAATGGTGAAACTTTAGGAGTATGCCGATTGTTCAATCCAGTCACCTGAGAAAAACAAAAGAAAAAAAAAGGAGTAGAATGATTGAATTCTTGGTATAAAACTTCATCATAATTGTAGTTTGCCAAGTTTATTTCAGTTCATATGTTCAATATTTCAAATAAGCTCTTGAACCATTTTGGGTGGAAACCTGATATTAATAACTAGTATATGGTTCTTTGCAGTTTCTTGAAAAAATTATAAGCTAGGCACAAGGTTCATGTTTCAATTTTAAGCACCCTTCTGACAATGAGAAGTTCCTTTTTGGAGATGGGTAACTGTCAACAGTTTGTTAACCTGACATCTCTGCTGATTTAGTTTCTGGGAGATTTTCTGTGTTGGCACTATCCTCTTTTTGCATTAGTCAGGTTGTTTGGTAGAGGTAGAATCTAAGTGCTTTTGTCTCAACCACCTGGGAAAATAGTTGCAAGTTGACCACTGTGTGATTGACAGAATGTAATTTCTCTAAATCCACTCACATATTTCTTATATAGATTTATTTCTGTTCTTCCTTTTTAAAATTTTCACTGAAAACAAATGCAAATATGCTTGGAATGTGGATTTATATCTAAAAGGAACCTTTATATTACTTCCAATAAGAAGAAAGTAATGAAAAAAGGCAAATACAATAAAAAATTATTATGATTATTTTTAAAGGGTAACTGATTTACAAAATTAGATACATGAAATTGTGTTAACCTACCCTATATTTGCCTAATTGACTCAATCTTAGCCCCCCCTTCACTTCCCACTGTTCCCCTTTGGAGTGCATTGCTAGGTCAAGCTGTACCCAAGGGCACTCTGGAATGCACTTACTGATAAGGTCAAGCTGTACCACCTCCGCTTAGGAATATGCCCCATGGGTAGTATGGAGAGCCCCTAGCCTGGCACCACTTATCTCCTGACTTCTGTTTACTCTGCTTCTGTAAAAATTGCTTCAGCTAGGCTCCCCCTTCCCTCCTCTAAGCAAGGTATAAAAAGTAACCAGGCCCCTTCTTTGGCCCGAGAGAATTTTGAGCATTAGTCGTCTGTCAGTCTCCGGCAAATAAAGGACTCTTAATTTGAAACTCAGGGTGTGGCGCTTTCCTTCTAACTTGCTCAGATACAACAAAATGATTCTCAGTGAAAATAAAGAAGATCTCTGAGCATATAATAAAAAAGCTAAATTCTATTTCTCCAAATACGCTTTAAAATTTAAAAATAAGCTATTTGACATGGTGAACAAAAGCCTTTTTTTTTTTTAGATGGAGTCTCTCAGTGTCGCTGTCTCGGGTCACTGCAACCTCTGCCTCTGGGTTCAAGGGATTCTCCTGCCTCAGCATTCCAAGTAGCTGGGATTACAGGTGGCCGCCACCATGCCCAGCTAATATTTCGTATTTTTTTAGTAGAGAAGGTGTTTCACTATGTTGCCCAGAATGGTCCCAAACTCCTAAGCTCGTGATCCGCCTGCCTCGGCCTTCCAAAGTGCTAGGATTACAGGTGTGAGCCACCGCGCCCAGCCACAAAAGCCTTTTTATCTGGATACAATTGTAGGGTTAGTAGGATTTTATAGCTTTAGTATAAATACCATAAGATCTAACTGATTTAGTGGCTAAATATTTACGTCATAATAAAAGCAACTAGAATACTTGATCTCCTGAAAATTTCAAACATTTTTTTTTTGGTGTGAAAGACTCAGGGAGACAATCCTTTTTATTGCCAAGGACCAAGAAAGAAAGTGTAGAAATACTATACACAGTGGTCATGAGCTACAAGATAGGAGTGGGGTGGAGGGGAGATGTGGTAACACAAGGCATTATTCGGAACGAGCTCCAGCTCTTCATTCTAACACTTGAACCAAGGACAGACAGCCATCTTTTTTCAGTAAAGCTGCAGCAGAATGCAAATGTGACTCAGTTTATCAGCTCCCACAGGGCAGGCTGCGCAAGAGGCTGTTGTAAGCTGGCTTTGGGAGCCCCCATCTCAAACACAAAGTGGATGCTAAAGGTGGTCCCTAGCCGCTGCTGGTGGCTGATCCTGGCTTGCTAGGTCCTGGGCATGTCTCAATTCTCAATAATCAGCTTGTCAGTTGAATACAGTTGGCCAATGTGGACCTGTCAACGAATTATTCCAAGGTCTCTCTTGGCCTTATTCACCAGGGTTTGAATTTCTACAGGATCCTTTACATTTTTATTTTCTCTGAAGGCATCTCTTATCCTCCTGACAGCATCCGTTCTGTAATTGTAGGCGCTGAAACGCTTGCTTTCTCTCAGCATAGCCCAGTACAGATCTAACACTTGTGCGCGGCTGGAAGCTGCCATTTTGGCACAAGCAACTCTTTCTAACACCACCACCAATAGAGATAAAATGTAACTTTTACAAGAAACGTAATTTAGCAGGCCAAGGTGGGTGGCTCATGCCTGTAATCCCAACACTTTGGGAGGCCTAGGTAGGTGAATATCCTGAGGTCGAGAGTTCGAGACAAACCTGACCAACATGGAGAAACTTTGTCTACTAAACACACAAAAATTGGCCAGGCGTGGTGGTGCATGCCTGTAGTCCAAGCTACTTGGGAGGCTGAGGCAGGAGAATCGCTTGAACCCAGGAGGCAGAGATTGCAGTGAGTGGAGATCACACCATTGCATTCCAGCCTGGGCAACAAGAGCAAAACTCCGTCTCATAAAAAAAAGAAAGGTAATTTAAAGTCGTCAGTGAACAACTTATCAAAACTCATCCAGTCCACAAGTGAGTTTACACAGATCCCTTGTCTCTGTACCCTCTAATATGGGGAGGGACAGGGATGGCCTAAGACAGGGACTGAGTGGACTTGCTGTGGGGGACTCAGTTTCTGGGCGGGTCCTATTCATCCACTCGCAATTCTGTAGGCTGTGGCAGGTGGCGATCACCCTTGGGCCTCCTAGGTACAGACACTAGGAGGACTGTCCAGATTCACTTACCAGAAGGCGCCCATAAGAGCCCAGAGGTGCAGGTGTTCCAATTCCCACAGGTGCAGGAGGACTACTGGTGGCTGCAGGGCACAGATAAAGAAAAAGTGCATGGATCCCACGTACCAGTTCGTGCCCAGCAGAGATCCGAATGTCCATTTTAGTTACAGGGGACCCTCCAGACCGCTCATCCCAGAAGCCACCCTCCCCTGAGCTGTCTCTCCACTTCTGTGCCCACCCAATCTGTCAGAGTATTCCAGGCAATTTAGCCCGCTAGGGCCTGTAGCCTGCACTCTCCAGACATGCTGTCCCAGTCGACAGCTCAATATCTGCTTGCCCAAGCACCCGGAGGCTCCGAGATCCCCAGACAGCCCTGGAAGACAGGCTGATGCACTTACTATAATAGAGGGCCCTCTCTGGTGCCAAAATCCCGCAACCCGTATTGGAAAATAACTCTTCCAAATAGCTCCTCATCCTTCAAATAGCTGGGAGATGATTCCAGTCAAGTTGCAATAACAGGGATCAGATTTACACTCCTGCTGGAAAGAACCAAAACCTAACAAAAAAATGACACCACACTTTTCAAGACATAGGATATCAGGTAAGGAAGAATCGTAACCCCTGAACCACAGGGGGAAAATGAGTGATTGGAGAGACGGGGAGGTGAACACTAGGGTTAGCCCCTAACTATGGCTTTGAGTTTCCAGGCCCCACTGCAGGAAGGCAGAACCCAAGCAGAGCCTGGTGGACTCCCAGCATTGATGAGGAGTTGATAGACTGGGAGATGGGGGCAGCTAGAGCTGATATGACAACATACCAAGAAGGCGAGAGGTGTAGTAAGGGATAACTCCAGAAGGAACGTCTGCAGCATTCAGCTAATACTCATGAACATGTGCCCGTATGGAAACTATACAGGACAGAAAAGGCTATCCAGAATGATCAGAGGTAGCATGATACTGAATAGTCTAAAGTCACTAGGAAATTGTTTCTGCTTGTGAGACAAACAGGAATTATGTCACTGAATTTAATACTGTCACAAGAAAGGGATGAAGATCAGGATTGAGGGGCAAAAAGGGCCATCTGTGGTGGTGGCTGGTTAGCTCAGTTGGTTAGAACATGGTGCTAATAATGCCAAGGCTGTAGGTTCGATCCCTATGTGGGCCAGTTGTTTTCCTCAGTGCTTTTTCGCGGTTTTCAGCCAGCAAAGAGCTGAGGGTAAGTAACAATGCTTTAAGATGGTCCAAATTCACCGCCATCATTTCTTAATCCACTTGCAGCCTAACTTCATTCCCAAATCCCCCAAAATTCTACATCTCCTCAGGTAAAGTTCTTATTCTTTTCCTCCATATGTAAGGGCTGGGGCAGAAGGATGTTCAGGGCAGAGGGCCAAAGTCTGGGAGCCCTGCCCAATGAAAGAAAAAAAAAAATTAGAAGATCACTGGCTTTTAAAAAGTTATTTAAATAAAGCTTACTTGATTTCAAATTGTCTCTCCAAATTACTCCTGAAACCAACCTTCTTTCTCAAATTGTCAAGAGATGCAAGATAAAGAGAAGGAATATTTAATTGTTCTTTCCAGTTGGAAGCAGTATGCAGGATGCATGTTTATTAATCACAAGAGGCCAGATTTGACTCCTGTCTAGTTCATCCTTTCCTAAAAACTAAACAAAAAACCAAACCAAAACAAACAAACAAAAAAAGCAAGTCTGTGTTCCATGTTGAAAGAGATAGCTTCCTCTCAGGGCAATCTTGTCTTTCAGTTAAATCTGAGTCTTCAGAGACATGTATTCACAATCTCCTGAGAATTTCTTCTCTTTATATTGTATCCCTTGATAATTTGAGAAAGAAGGTTGGTTTCAGGAGTAATTTGGAAGGACAATTTGAAATCAAGCAAGCTTTATTTAAGTGATTTTTTAAAAACCAGTAATAGTCTAATTCTTTTTTTTCTTTCATTAGGCAGGGCTCCCAGTCTTGGACCAGCTGCCCTGAACAGATTTCTGTCCCCAGCCCTTACACCTGGGGGAAAAGAATAACTTTACCTGAGGACATGTAGAATTTTGGGGGATTATGGAATGGAGTTAGTTTGCAGGTGGATTAAGAAACGACAGCGGCGAATTTAGACCATCTTCGGGCACCCTCAGCTCTGATTCACTGGCTGAAAACTGACAAGTTTCTCTAGAACTACCGAGAAAAACATCTGGCCCGTACGGGGATCGAACCCGCGACCTTGGCGTTATTAGCACCACGCTCTAACCAACTGAGCTAACCGGCCGTTGCCGTGATTTCTTTTTTTTCTTCCACCACCTCCATTCCGACCCTCATCCCTCTCTTGTGAAAGTATTGAATCAGGCCGGGCGCGGTGGCTATCGCCTGTGATCTCAGCACTTTGGGAGGCCGAGACGGGTGGATCACGAGTTCAGGAGGCCGAGACCATCATGGCTAACACGGTGAAATCCCGGTCTCTACTAAAAATACCAAAAAGTTAGCCAGGTGTGGTGGTGCGCGCCTGTAGTCCCAGCTGCTCGGGAGGCTGAGGCAGGAGAATGGCTTGAACCTGGGAGGTGGAGGGTGCAGTGAGCCGAGACAGAGCCACTGTACTCCAGCCTGGAGACAGAGCGAGACTCCCTCTCTAAAGAAAAAAATATATATTAAATTCAGCGATATTATTTCTATTTGTCTCACAAGGAGAAATAATTCCTTAGTTGCTGTAGACTCTTAATAAAAATGAGAAACTTTCTCCTAAAACCTAAACAAAACAAAGAAAAAGCGTTTTTAATGGATTTATTTTATTTTTTAAGCTGTGTTCCTAGAGTTGAAGGAGGACGCTTAAAAATTTCAAACCGCGGCGAATGGTCCAGGAATCCGTGTAAATATTTGCTGCTTTCTAAATGCCTGGTAATCAATACGTGCCGACAGTGAATCAGACTCGGTGAAATGATAGCGAGTCCTTGTCTTGTAGGAGCCGTTCACTAATACAACCTAGAAATTGGCCCCTGAAGAACCTTCCCGATGAGTCTGATTCTCGATGGCCCCACAGTCGAGATCGTCCCGGGTTTCTTCTGCCCGGGCATCCATTCTGGAAGTTTTCCTATCTGTTGCGTCAGATTTCCAGGGTGACCGCAAATCAAAGCCCACTTTGAAGACCTTGGTATTAGAGAATTCCGGAAATGTGGCTCTACTCACCATCCAGGGACGGTTAGACCGATCTTTCCACCCATTGTCGCCCAAAAATATTACCATTGTTTTTAGCATCTTCTTCGTCATTGTAGAGATTTTGAACGCATAGACAAAGTTAAACAAACGTTTTCTTTTTTCTCTTCACACATAGTGGCATTTTATCCACTTTTTAAATCCCTTTTCTTTTTTTTTTTTTTTAGACGGAATTTCGCGCTGTCGCCGAGGCTGGAGTGCAGTGGTGCGATCTCGGCTCACTGCAAACTCCACCTCCCAAGTTCAAGCGATTCTCCTGCCTCAGCCTCCCGAGTGGGGACTACAGGTGCGTGCCACCACGCCCACCTTTTTAATTTTTTTTTATTTTTAGGTTTCACTGTGTTACCCAGGATGGTCTCGATTTGCTGACCTCGTGATCCGCCTGCCTCATCCTCCCAAAGTGCTGGGATTACAGGCAAGAGTCACCACACCCGGCCCCTTGGTTTTTTTTAACTCAGAATGTATTTTTGCAGTTCTTTCATATTAGAACACAAGTGTTTTTCATTCCAAGTCTGTATAGTATTCAATTATATGAGTATATACCATACTTTAGTGGGCATAGCTTAGACTTTCATCCTCCTATTGCAAAGTGTTTCTAAATATGAACATACACCATATCTGACATGCGCCATATTTTTGCACATGTGAAAAAGCTGCATCAAAATGTATGTGCATTGGCAATTTTGATGGCCTTTGTCACACTGTGCCTTAGAGGGTTGATCCCAAGATTCTTTTTGCTTGCTTGTTTTAACTTTATTGAGCACAAATAGGATCCTTGGCACATTTCTACCCCTTCTTCTTCCTGAATTTCCTGCTACAAATTTGAAGCAAAACTAGACAATCAGTATGTAGATTGTCTAGTTGGGGCATACTAGATTCTGGAATATTGTTTTTGGGGTACAAGTAATGATGTAAAAAGAATGTGGTAGAATCAGGTGGGAGAAGGAATCAGGTGAGAGAAGGAAAACAGTGAGAAGGAGCCACAGTGGCCTTATTTTGTCACCTCAGAGAACAACAAGGGCAGAAACACCTGAGGGAAAGGAGCTAAGACAAGTCAGTCTGTCTGGAGACTGACTGAGCTGCAGAGTGGTACAGGATGAGAAGTAGGAGATGAAGCCTGAGGAGGAGAGAACATGTATTAATACATGATGCAAAACCCTCTAGCAGATTACTATAAGTGAATCAGGATACTTGATGGTAAAGTGGATGGGGCAGTAAAAATAAATTAACAGGTGTTAACTGATCCACATTAAGTCTAA